TGTGTTACAAAAACTTGTACTTCGTTCCCTTGGTGGGCTGAACCACCAACCTTTCGGTTAACAGCCGAACGCGCTAACCAATTGCGCCACAGAGACTGCAACATTGGTATTATGTTGTATTCATATCGCGAATTCATACATGAGAAACTTGTGTGTTATAAAAACTTATACTTCGTCCCTGAGTTGGCTTGAACCACCAACCTTTCGGTTAACAGCCGAACGCACTAACCGATTGCGCCACAGAGACTGCAACATTGGTGTTATGTTGTATTCATATCGCGAATCCACTCATGAGAAAATGTGTGAAATAAAAACTTGTATTTCGTCCCTGGGTGGGTTTGAACCACCAACCTTTCGGTTAACAGCCGAATGAGCTAACAGATTGCGCCACAGAGACTGCAACAACGGTGTTATGTTGTATTCATATCGCGAATCTACACATGTGAAATTGTGTTTAAGAAAAACTTGTACTTCGTCCCTGGGTGGAAGGAACCACCAACATTTCGGTTAACAGACGATTGCTCCACAGAGACGGTAACAATGGTAATATGCTGTATTCATAATGGGTGGGCTTGAACCACCAACCTTTCGGTTAACAGCCGAACGCGCTGACCGATTGCCCCACAGACACTGCAACAATGGCGTGATGTTGTATTCATATCGCGAATTCCAACATGAGAAATTGTAATAAAAACTTGTTCTTCGTCTCTGGTGTTGACTTGAACCAACAACCTTTCGGTTAACAGCCGAACACTCTAACCGATTGGACCACAGTAACTGCAACAATGACGTTATGTTGTATTCATATTGCCAATCCACATATGAGAGTTTGTGTTTAATAAAAACTTGTAGTTCGTCCCTGGGTGGGCCTGAACCACCAACCTTTCGGTTAACAGCCGAACGCGCTAACCGATTGCGCCATACGGACTGCAACAATGGTGTTATGTTGTGTTCATATCACGAATTCCCACATGAGAAATTGTGTGTAATAAAAACTTGTACTTCGTCCCTGGGTGGGCTGAACCACTAACCTTTCGGTTTACAGCCGATTGCTCCACAGAGACGGCAACAATGGTATTATGTTGTATTCATATTGCAAATCCATGCATGAGAAATTTTGTGTAATAAGAACTTGTAATTCGTTCCCGGGTGGGCTTAAACCACCAACCTTTCGGTTAACAGTCGAGCGCGCTAACCGATTGCGCCACAGAGACTGCAACAATGGGGTCATGTTGCATTCATATCGCGAATTCACACATGAGAAATTTTGTGTAATAAAAACTTGTAATTCGTTCCCGGGCGGGCTTGAAACACTAACCTTTCGGTTAACAGCCGAACGCGCTAACCGATTGCGCCACAGAGACTGCAACAATGGTGTCATGTTGTATTCATATCGCGAATCCACACATGAGAAATTGTATGTAATAAAAACTTGTACTTCGTCCCTGGGTGGGCTTGAACCAATGCAGCAATGGTATAATGTTGTATTCATATCACGAATCCAAAAATGGGAAAATTGTGTATATCTTGAACCACCAAGCTTTCGGTTAACAGCCGAACGCGCTAACCGATTGCGCCACAGAGACTGCAACAATGGTGTCATGTTGTATTCATATCACGAATCCACACATGAGAAATTGTATGTAATAAAAACTTGTACTTCGTCCCTGGGTGGGCTTGAACCAATGCAGCAATGGTATAATGTTGTATTCATATCACGAATCCAAAAATGGGAAAATTGTGTATATCTTGAACCACCAAGCTTTCGGTTAACAGCCGAACGAACTAACCGATTGCACCACAGAGACTGCAACAATGGCATTATGTTATATTCATATAGGGAATGCATACCTGATAAAATTGTGTGTATTGAAAACTCGTCTCTGGTTGGGCTTGAATGAACCTTTCGGTTAACAGCAACAATGCGCCACGAGCGAGGAAAAAGCCAAACTGCTAATCCAACACTGGTGGCACTGTCGCACTCTTTTGCAGTATAGTGAGGGCGCTGTGTTTTTAGAGTTTTATTGTAGTTGCTTGGATGTCTTTTAAGTTGCATTCACAGAAACCATTGAATAGATGACAGGAGTATTTAGGTGCAATTGTGTGTTTGCAAGCAACGCTGGCACGGTGAAAATCATTCAAATATTATAACATTATATATTT